TCATTCCTTGTTTCTTCAGTCATAAGCTATCTGGAATTTCTTAGTCCCATGTTTATTTTGAGTATAGTCAATCCATCTTCTCCACTCTCAAACTCAGTTTTTGTAAATAAGACAGTAAGCAAAAGAATCTGATCAAATATTTCACATGGTGTAAACCAGTAGTTTGAAAAGTGTAGACAGTTCTGGGGATGGAGATAAGAGTGAAAAATTAATAAGGGGCCAGAGTTTGTGCAGATAAAAACTCCACATGCACCAAAATCTGAGGGAGCATTGAACACCAGCGATCAGAACACTTTTTCAAAGCTTTTAAATATTCACTTTTTGAATATTTAATAGCATTTTTGGGATCTCATCGTTTCTTCCAGCTCACTTTGGCATAAAGTTAACCTACTGTCCATTTTCAGAAGACATGACCTCATGACACAACCTTTGTCTTATTCCCAGTTCATTAGGAAGACAACCTAAATTTGTCTTCAGCTATTCCAATTTCAGGTAGTGTTTTCCATCTTCTCCCAACACAATTCTTGACCTACTAATTATCTACAAGACTGAATTCATAACCTTGGTCTTAATTCAGTCTGCACCTGGCATCTGCCAAGGACCTATTGGGTAAGTGAAGATGCTGTAGCCACAACGTTTGGACACAGGATGCTGCCCTTCATGCCCATTTTGGCCTGGGCTTCAGGAGAACCTGAGCATCGGGTTTGCACAGAAGCACCTGCCCTTCTAGGGCCTGACCTGCACTTGGCAATCTGCCTTTTGTTCTAATCTGTTTATTATTACGTATCTATTAGATTTTTATCCTGCCAAGGTGGCGAACATACCTAATGTTCCTTCCTTCTATTTTCCCCACAATAATTGTGTGAGATGGGTTGGACTGAGAGGGAGTGACTGGCTCAAGTGATTGTTGCTTTGCCTTAATGTTTCCCTGCACTTGGCTTTAAAAAAATCAGAGCACCATTGTTCTTCCTTTACTTCTTCTTTTAGTTTTGGCCCAGCATCCAAGCTACATACAAGAACAATCTATACTGGTTAAAGGGAAAACATATGAAGTACCGTATATACTCGAGTATAGGCCGAGGTTTTCAGCCCACTTTTTGGGCTGAAAAAAGCCACCTCGGCTTATACTCGAGTCAGTGAAAAAATTTGCCCAAAATGGAGGAGAAAAGGGGGCGGGGCCATGCTGCTGGGCGACGCTCGTGAATGGCCCGGCGCCCCTGTGAGTTTTCCCTCCCTCTGTCAGTTTGCCGCGCAGCGCGCACCGCACTATCTCCCCTCTTCACGTTCTAATGTAATGCAGGTCTGTCTTCCGATTCCCCTTCCTCCCCCTCCTGCCGCTCTGCAATGATGTCCCACCTCCTCCTTGTTATGGCCCAGCATCCAAGCTACATACAAGAACAATCTATACTGGTTAAAGGGAAAACATATGAAGTACCGTATATACTCGAGTATA